TCCAGCAGGGAAAGAGATAAATGTGTACAGAGAGGACAATGCAGTCTTTGTAGGTGTGATGTTTTCTGAGCTTCATGATTTTCTTTAAAGTTTTGACCTATCACTTGAGCAGTGGGTCATAGGGAAAGTTTTGGAACTTGGATTTTGTTCATATTGATCTGTTTTTGGGTCAGGTTCTCCCAGAGTCAAGTTATCATTATTCATCTCAAATTCTGCTTTTCAGTGCTAGTGAAAGTATACTATCTGTAGGAAGTCATGCTTCTCCAGAACTACGAAAATAATGTAGAAATAAAGACATTATGGTGAACCCCATCAACTTTACTTACAAGCTTTATTTACCGTTTGGTGTAAACAAATACTTTGTTCCATTTCAGATTATTTACTACTTCCGAGTTATTCTACCCTGCCCCGTGCTTGCTGAGGGCCTCAGTCTGACCTACAGACCTGACAGCCATCCCTTCCATGATGCTGAGTGTAGGGGTGGGTGGTGGCTGTCTGGAAGGGGCCACAGTACAATGCCACCGCGTCGTGAGAGGCGACACTCCTCCCATCCCTGGGGGCCATGGGAAGCTCTTTTCTATGGCAGCTCTCATTTCTGGATCCACCTCCTCATTAGTCCATAAATCCTTTGCTTTTGGACAAACTCCCCTGAGCACACTACACCTTCTCTGTCTACGGCCAGCATCTCACTAAAACATAGTGAAGTTTAAAGTGGAAACATAAAGATGTTTGCATTTTACCTGTGGAAAAACATTTTTATTCATGGCACATGTTGAATACTTGTCATAAAAATATTTCCTAAAAGAAAAACTAGGGAGGGGCTGGGGATTTAGCTCAGCGGTTCGTTGGCCTGCCTTGCAAGCATAAGGACCCAAGTTCAATCCCCAGTACCAAAAAAAACAAAGAAAAACTAGGGAAATCAGGTAATGTAGAATAGTTTTTTCTAGATTACAGGATATGGAGGACTAGAGTGGGAGGAGGGATAAAGAGAATGATCTAAAAATGAGAAATGCAGGTTTCTGGTGGAATCATTCTGGTTTTACTTGTAGTCCCCATGAACTTTTTTTTGGTACCAGGGATCAAACTCAGGACCTTGCACTTGCAAGGCAGGTGGTGGAACCACTGAGCTAAATCCCCGGCCCTAGTTTCCATAAACTTTTAATTTCAACTGTCCTCCAGGCCTTGTTAAACATTATTAATTTCATACTTTTCTCCTGAGAAGACAAAAATTAGAAAATACCTTATTTTTTTCTACTGAGAATCACATACCTTTAAACGATTACCGTCAAAAGGAATGCTGTTTATCCCTTGACCATTCTATACTTCCATTACTCCATTGAAATTCTGGTTTTGTAAGAAGGACAAATGAAGTGGTAAAGTGACAGAATTTGGGGTTAAGTCGGGACTGTATTAAATGGGCTGACACTCAATAGACCTCAGTTTAACAAATAAATAGTAGTAACTGCCATATGGCATGCCCTACGCCTTCTTAAAAACAATGTTAGGACACGTTTACCTTTTTATTTATGTATTTGTGATGCAGCAAATCCAGCCCAGAGCCTCACACATGCTATGCAAGTGCTCTGAGCTCCATCCCCAGCTCACCGCATATATGTTTTTATCAGCAAGTACACAGATAGAAAACGTGTAACTTGGGGAATTGATTAAGGGGATCTAAGGCCCAGCTCTGATACTTATATATCTCTGAAGTTCTGAATCTTCAGGTTTTTTTCATCTATAAAACAGGAATAATAGGGCCAGAGATGACAAGTGCAAGGTCCTGAGTTGGATCCCTGGTTCCATAAAAAAATTTAAAATAAAATAGGAATAACAATATCTACTTCACAAACTTTCAAAAAATATATAACACGTGTGACTTTTGTATAGCACTTTGCCACTGTTAGACACAATTATACTAGAGATCATCATCAAAGCTATGACTATAATGTTTTTCTTAATACTTATACAGCTGGAACCATATTTTTCAACTCTACAGGATGGATTTCAGTAACACTGTGTGGGAAATCTCTGCTTTATTTCATTTTAGCTATCTTCTTGAATGCCTTATTAAATACATTAAAATTCATAGAGCTAAATATTAGCCTTGAAATGATATTTTAAGTCATTTTACTTGTTGAAATGCAAATAATTCATTGGAGAAGGCAGTAAGTACTGCTATTTACTCACAGTGATTGTGACTTTTGTGTTTGCTTTCTTAATAGGTACCAGATGTGGAATGACATGGGTCTGTCCCACCCCACCCCCAAATGCTCAGGGCACATATGGCCCTGAATCAGATTACACTGCATGTGACACAGTAAAATACTCAAGTATTTATGGAAAAGAGAATCCAAGTTTGCTACTAAGTTTTACTAGTTCACCCAGCATTCATCTGGCTTTTTAAAAATGTAGCTAACAAAATTAAAATCCTGAAGATAAAAGTTTCGGTTGTTTTTCGTTAGGTCTATTGGTACTTTTTATGTATACAGTAGTTATGTTCATCCTTGGGCTGGGGATTTAGCTCAGCGGTTCGTTAGCCTACCTTGCAAGCACAAGGACCCGAGTTCAATCCCTGGTACCAAAAACAAAACAAAAACAAGTTATGTTTATCCTGGGATCCTGTATCTTTATATGATGTATCTTGGTTCTTTTTTGGTACCGGGGATTGAACTCAGGTCCTTGCGCTTGCAGGGCAGGCGGTGGAACTGCTGAGCTAAATCCCCAGCCCTTGGTTCTTATTTTTATGTTTCAATTTTGAATGGAATTAACAGATCTCAATGCTACTGATAAGGATGCACATATATTAAATGTTTAGTGGCTTTTGGAGTTAGTACCAGCAAGAAAAGCCTATAGAGAAGCACTAACGAGATGTATTTGCACTGTGGCAATCAGAGTAGATGGGGCTTTTGTAGCCTGATTAGAAACATAACCGTCACGATAAAATCATGCCATCCCCCAAGAGATCTGAACATAATTTATGAAGATATTATAGCTATCAAACTGAAAAACCACTTCAACTTTAGAATTTTTTTTCTGGGTACCAGGGATCGAACTCTGGTCCTTGAGCTTGCAAGTCAGGTGGCGAAACCACTGAGCTAAATCCCAGCCCTCCATCAGAATTTTTAAATAACTGACAGAAACTTCTTAAGATGAGCAAAATCACCAGTCCAGGTCATTCAAAAGGAAGGTGGTAAAAACACTGCTGAAAGTGAGAATCTGGCCCTCTCTTGTTTTTGTTTATACCACAACTGTATGTGTATTAAGCATAAACTGGGTCAAATCCCTAAATAGAAACCAATTGTGATTCCCCTGCCCCTCATGAAAGAACATTTCAGGGCTGCAAATAACCATGTTTTTGTACATCAGAGTCTCATCAGCAGGGCAAAAGTGCTCAGAGTTGGAGACCCAGGTTTCATCCCCCATTCCCAAACCACCCCACCCCAGTCACCTAAACGTTCTTACTATGCTCTGGAAGAGTTGAGGACGTTTTGGGGGTTTGAGACATCGGTGCTCTGAAGTCTCCCGTGGTCAATTCTTACCCTTCTCCCCAGAGTTAACACGAAAAGGTGAAAGGACTCCAAAGGGCAGAAGCTTAAACTAAGGCATAAACACCAGCCAGAGAGATTCTGGGTGCACGTCCCCCAGGTGTGACCCCGGCTATGTCACCCAAACTCACCTTGCTTTAAACTAGAACAGCAGCACCTGGAAGAAGCTGTCCCTGCACTAGCTTTGGAGAATGCAGTTGGAAGAGCAAACAGCAAACCTCTTACACAGCGACCATGTGGTAGACCAAAGACCTCATGTCCTCCTCCAAGCGAATCTGGGACTTACTGGGGCAGCTGGCGTTTGGAGACAATCATAAGGTGCGAATGTGCTATTGCTTCTAACAGACAGAATTTAGATGAATTACTCTTTACCAACTTAGAAAGATTTGTTCGGAAATGAATTTCCTCCTTGTATGACTGTCTTTATGGAAGGAAATAGAGCCCATTTCTTCACAAGTGTTTCATTTTCAGCACACCATCGCTTAGAAATGTGGTTCTACTAATAGCACACATGTAAACTACAGGAATGAGGCTTGCGCGTGATTGGCACAGAGCCCAAGGAACAACGCTGGAGGAAGGAAATAAAAATACCACTGTTTCCCACAGTCCCTGGGCATCTTGCTGTAGCTTGGGTAATGAGCATGTATATTTGGTTCAAATGTCAGAATAACTTTCTCCTGACAAGCAAAATTCCTTTCATTAGAAAATTTTGAGCATTAAACAGCACAAATCCAAATGATAATGACGAGATCTGTGTGTAAACCTGTAATTTAGTCCAACTCGAGTGTGTAAGTGCATATACATACAGGTACACAAATACAGACACAAACACACACCAAAAAAAATATTTTTATACATTTCACCATCTTGTAAATGATGGCGTTTTGTAGATATCTACCTGTTTTGTTTTGTTTGGTTTCTGGTACCAGGGATCAGACTCAGGCCCTTGCACTTGCGAGGTAGGCAGCAGAACCCCTGAGCTAAATCCCCGGCCCCTGTACCTTTTTAAAGTAAAACCCTTAAGCCCATATATACACGCTTTTCCTGGCCAATACAGAAGTACAATTTATTATGAAAGAAGAGGGAGGGGAAGAGGTTTTCACCAATGGGTTTATTTAGAAGGAAGCAAATTAAACAGAACTAGGATTGTTCTGGAAGGAACTGGCAAGCGGCACACAGAGAGGCAGCAGAATGGAAGTAAAATAAAAAGTTTACTCCACTGATGGGGATCGAAGACACCCAATGGCGGTGCCCTGATCGACTCCCCATTGCGTTGCAACTCCTTCTTTATAGGGTTTTACAGCCTTGATCTTACTCAGTTGGTTAACATTGCATTTTCACAGCTCACATTGCTGATACCCAAAACATGGTGGCCAGGCTATTGAATTTCAACCTGGATGCAGTTCTCTGTCAGGGAAGTTACCTTTAAAATTTATTCAGTTACCTATTCTAGCCAGGGGAAGGGAGCTTGTTTGGTCAACAAAGCTAACAATGGTTCTTTTCACTTACAAAACTTTTGGGGGAGACTGGGTGTCTCTGGTGGGGGTTAATTCTGAACTAAGCAGAGTGAGGGGCAGAAGTTATCTTATATTGTGACGTTTCCTAAGTTTTCGCTATTAAAATTTTCCCTATCGGGATGACAACAGCAGATGTCTAGTTATAAGTCAACTCCCTAAAGCCGATTAATATATTCATGAACAAACTGAATATACTGCCAAAAGAAAAACGCTACTGTTAATGCCCCAAAGGCTCCTGGTTTCACTTGTGCTTCTCAATCAGGCAAAATGTTCTCTCCTCGGCTACCAGCACTATTTATTTTGCTTCCTGCCAACCTTGAAAACAATTCATCTTGTGTGTCGTTGCCTCATAAATGCCTCCTGGTGCTTGATTGCTTTGCCTGTGCGGCATTTGGCTTCAAACGGCCATTTTACCTTTATAAGCACTTAGAACTGTCTAAGCATGAGGAGAATACCCAACCAGCATTCGAAAATAAGGCTGTAATCAGAGCTCCAGAGGATGTTTTACAGCCTACCTGGCTTTCTGCATACACCAGAAATGTCGCTTTACATCCAATACCGCATTCCCGGTCTGAGAGCAGAAGCGGAAATGAACATCGGGGACTCCAGCAAGGAGGCCCTGGTATCAACAAGTTTAATTTATTATTATTGCAGAATAACAGTTTTTCCATGATTAGTGAAAGAGAAAACACATAATATATTTAGGGATTTAACAGGTGGGGGTAGAGGGAGGAGAAAAACAGAAAAAGAGAAGAAATACCAGTTACCACGTGATTTTTGTAGTAAACAATAGAATATGTCGTGCAATAGTGCAATTTTCCTTTGCTAGTCCAGCAACGCAAGTCTTAGTAGAAGGCCACTGATGTCACTCTGCATTTCAGGGTTAGTTGCGTGCTTGCTGGGGAAGAGAGGGCCTGCTGGACTTCTGATTCTGGGCCGGATCACTGACGCTAGAGTCACTTTTACTCAGGCCAAGATGACGGAGCTTCATATCCCAGCGCTGTGAAATTCAAGAGAGAAAATAGCCATACGCACGTATCACCACGGTCACCATTTCCACAACTAAGGGCTGGGTAAGTCTGCTGAGTCAGTCTAAAGCATTTTACTGCATTTCCAAAGCTATAAAATCTATATCCTAGGGTGACAATGAACCTGATACTACGTAAACAGAATGCTCTAATTTCAAAATGCACAAAGTCATCCATCGCTAATGCAGTCAATGATTCTTTCATATCAAACCTTAAAACTAAAATTTCTAGGAGCCGGGGTTTTACTTCAGTGGTGCCACTGCCTGCCTTGCAAGCACAGGGTCCTGAGCTCTATCCCCAGTATCCCAAAAAAAAACTCCTACAATTTCTCTGTCAGTAAATGGTGATCCAATATCTACCAATATATGGGTGTTTCCAAAGGTAACACACAAATGGAGGATTTACACAGAATATTTGAATGAAGGACTTTTTTTTTTCACTTCTTTCTGAAGACACCCAGCAAGATAGCCTTTTATATTTTCCGGTACTAGGGTAGCAAGGATCAAAGTCAGGACCTTGCACTTGCCAAGCAGGTACAGCACCACTGAGCTACATCCCTGCCCCTTACAAGCAGCCTTTTAAAACCTGTTTGATTTCAGCAAGGACAAAAAAAAAAAAAAATGGCAGAATGATGTACCTAAAATATTTTTCTAAGTAATATCTCTAAGTGCAGCAAAGAAAACAAACAAGATCCTGTCCACATTCTGAATTTTATAAAGCAAGCATTGCAATGTTTTTAACAGCTTGTCACTTTGACTAATTTTTCATATCAACAATATTATCTACATGTAATATATGAAACTGCATGGAAGTTATATGATGGGAGTGAAGCTAAGTGAGTAAGAATGATAGCTATAGTTCTCAAGTTTCAATTTCGGAAATCACTTGCAGATTTTGTTAAAAATGTAAATTCCTACTCCGTAGGCCTGGATGGGCCCCTGGATTTTCACAGCGGACAGGTCCCAGGGAGCAGCCCCATTGCTGGCCAGGGAACTTACTGCAGGTAGAAAGATGCTAATACCAGACGGCCCAAGTTCAAATTCTAACTCCATGACTTAATGCTGCAACATTTCTTGAATTTAACAGACTTGTTTCCATCATGTCTACAATGGAATTAATAATATAATCTACTCATATGATTACTCTGAAGATCGAAGAAAAATGAATAAAATATATAACATACAATAAATTAGGTATTGCTATTTTTCTATTACTGAAAGTGTCTGTATTTTAGCACATTTTATTCCACAATGTTATTATTTCCATTTTTAAAACAGTCTGATTTTCCCCAAAGTAATCCAAATATCATGGTTTGAACAATCTACTATAATAGAGACAAGTAAACTATCGTTTTCATGGAAAAACCATAAAAATGTTTCCTTTAAGTACTTGACCTATCTACTTAGAGCCAAATACAGCTGAGAAAAGCAACTCTGATTAAATAAATGACTAACATCCTCCATAAAATCATTTTTACATTCTCCAGTTGACTAGAAAACTGAAATAAGGCTCTCAATGACTCTGGCCAAAGAAAACTTTTCTATCCAAACACTCTGGCCCTACGTCTGTACATACAAATTAAAAATTGTTCAAATTGTTAGTTTATCTCTCCCATTATTACGTTTAAATCCAGACTGAGGATGTAAACGATTTCACAGTAGCTGTGAATTCTCTACAGAAAATAATGGGAAATGTGTCCACTTACTGAAGAACGGGACAAACAAGCCATGTGTCCCACTGACAGCACAAGCAGCGAAGCTTGTTACATGCTCTGCAGGTGAGATGTTGTAAGCTCTTCCAACGGGCACGGGAATTTAGGACAAATTCCTGTTCTGCATTAGCAAGTAAAAACCAAGCTGAAAGGACTTCAGAGAGTCCAACGTACTAAAGAAAAGCCACTTCTTCTTTTTTTTTTTTAATCCTTTAAAAATTTTTATTTGTATCTAAATTAATTACAGGTTAATTTTTAAACCTCCCACATAGCTGTCATCCTAGTTTCCCTTTACCCTATAGAGAAGTACTTTGCTTGCAAGATTCCATATTTTTTTTCAGCTTTAATTGAGTTTATTGGTACATTTTAGGGATACAGTACAGTTACATTCATTGTTGGGATCTTGTACCTCTACATGACAAGTCTTGATTCTCATTTTTTCCCCTTACCCCTGCCCTCCCTTCACCCCCTCCTCCCCTCCCCATCTACAAACACTTTATTTTCATCTTTTCATTATCTCACATTATTTTCTTTTCCCTTATTACCCTTCCCCTACCCATCCCACCTTCCCTACACCTTTAGCTCCTTTCTTCCCATTTCTAAGTGTCAGTAATCTTATTAGGATCCACTTCTTTAGTAAACACAAAACTAACAGAAGAGAGGTGGAAACAGAGAATGCCCACAAGTCTGCACTACAATGCAGTGTACTGGGGGCGGAGAGGAGCTTACCAGCCATGGCCTCTCCCTCCCAAGTAACGCCCTCTACATTTCTATAGGTCACTTAATTTCAAATGTCTTCGGTGTCGAGTGCCAGATGTATAAGATCAACTGCCCGAGGGTGTTTAACTTATCCTGTAAATGTTTCCCAAGCCTTCAAACTGGCAGAGGGAAGAGGATGTATTATGCTTGGTGCAGTTCCCACCCCCACTCCCACTCCAAACACACATCTTTTGAGTTTCTTTATCCTTCGTGCGCTTCCCCCAACATTCTTTGCCTTAAAACAACTTCACTCATTGCGTTAAGAATGAAACCTTCGATAATGGAGTAATTTACTACTTGATTTTGGTTAAGGTATCTCCAGGATCTAAGAGTGAGTGGATTAAAAATAAAGCTACAGGCCGGGGATTTAGCTCAGCGGTTCGTGGCCTGCCTTGCAAGCACGAGGACCCGAGTTCAATCCCCAGTACTCGCCCCAAAAAATAAATAAATAAAGCTACAGGGCTGGGGATTTAGCTCAGTAGCACTATGCCTGCTTTGCAAGTGCAAGGTCCTAAGTTCAATTCCCGATACCAAAAAAAAAAAAAAAAAAAAAAAAAAAAAAAAAAAAGCTAGCTAGCTAGGTGATTGTTCCAGACCTAATTTGGTCATATCTCTTATACAAAGATGACTGAGGCTGCCCCTTGTCTATAGGAATTGGTGCCTGTGCACTGGACAACTCTGTTCTTTCCCTACCCATGTTTATTTTCCCCTTCTCACAGAAGTGTAATTTGTTCAAGGAAACGATACACCTAGCTTTAAAAACAACCCCCCGACAAAATGCATGTCATTTCTCAGCCTCCCTTGCAGCTAAAAATGGTTGCAAAACTAGGTTTTGCCCAGAACTCCTAAGAAAAGGTTGCTAGATGGAGATCTTGGAAATCCCTTTTCCCTTCCCTTCCTTCTGCCTGATATCAAATCTGATGTTGGCGGCACAGCAGCCGTCTCATGAGCTCCAAGGAAATATGAGGATGAAAGCAGTAACTCACAAACTGACAGAGCATCAAGCTCTCAGAAGCTGTGGTCCTATAATGCACAAACCACTCTACTAAAACCAGAAGAACTACTTCTGGAGTCATTATGAGAAGTTACAGCAAATACAGTTGGATCCTGATATGCAGAGTGAACTCATTCCTTGAAACAAAATAAGCACCAATGATAAACTCAGTTCATAGAGTAACAAGTATGAAAATACACATATTCTCATATACATGAGGGTAGTTATTTAAGTGACAGTTGGCTGTATTCTGCTTTTGCTTTCTCTGTACTGTATTACTTTGAATGAAATATAGGTATAGGTCTGGGGATTTAGCTCAGTGGTTTCACCGCCTGCCTTGCAAGCATAAGGGACTGAGTTCAATCCCCAGTACCAAAAAGAAAAAAAGAAATATAGGTATAGTCTTACCTTAACTTTTTTACCAAGTCGATCTTTCCATTTCTCTGCTATGGAGCCTTCCACTAAGAGTAACCTGCATTTTTTTAAACAAGCAATCAGTTTTGAAAGATTAAAGCACGTTATTGAAAAATACAAGCAGTCTATGCCAAAAAAGACTTAATACACTTATTCTAGAATAGAAGAACTAAGTTTGAAAGCAGTAACTTTTAGTTATCCGGAAGTCAAGGACTCCTTTAATGAACAAATGAAGCTATGATCTCTCTCGCTGGGAAAGAAAATGCATACCTGTGAGCTGCACATGCCTACTTTTCTACTCAACATATGGAGCTAACAGATTCAGTTAAAGCCTACCTATAATCTGCAAGAAGGCAGAAAGACCTTACTGCAAGATCTCACCACAGTCAGAGCTCTACTGAGAAATGCAGTGGGTGCGCAGGCAACTTACTTACTCTGCCTTCTTAACGGCATGAATTACCTGGAGCGTTCCTCATCTTCGTAGCCCATGATGATATACTCCTCATTAACACTGAGGGGGGGACACAGGCAGCCAGAGCTGGTGTACAGGTTGACGGTGTCCCTTGGGATGTTCACCAGAGAGGCCTTCAGAATCTCCTTCACCTCCACCACCACCGTCACATCATGGCACCTGGTCTTCAGCTCTTTAACTTTAGCCCGAATGACTGGAAAAAAGGCCAGCATAGCTGGCTTAGTAATGCAACACACTGTACACACCGCCTCATTCAAGACAAACGGGTCAGCTTCTTCCTACTCATCTCCTGTCCATTTAAGGTTCACTGACTGGAGAGGAAAAGTCAACCGCATCTTTTTGCCTTAGATGTTAAAGAGTAAAAAGTGAAGTCACACACTCCCCCGCACCAATGCTCAGCCTGATCCCTTCCCAATTTGTGTCTGTGTGTGCATGAGTTTCATTACGAGAAGTCCATTTAGAGAATCAAAGACTGAATAATTGAATTTTCCTCCAAAGTTTCATTTTGGTGTCAGTATACTATCTTTTATACACTCTTTTAGTAAAAAGAAATCTTCTTCTAGAATAAAAGTCATCACCATCATTCCCTCCATCTGCTGGGAGGTTGCTGGGTTCTAACAGTGCTCGTAGCCGACCACCCTGCCTGTCTGGATGCACTTGGTTTATCCCCAACTTAACTCCTCAATATAAACACAGACTGCCTTCAGCTGCAAAGTCCAAGTAATTGACTTAGAACCTAGGAAGAAACATACTGTTACTGTTACTTTTCTGTATCTCTCCTTTAGACTTCTGGTAAAGGAACTTTTTAAAGGAAAGTGTCTTCCAACACTAAGAAAGAAGTAAAAATGTCAATGAGCAAGAAGTCAATAGCAGCGGCTCATTGTAACCCTCACTGCCCCAATTAGTATCCATGGGTGTTACACAGAGGAAAACACAATTTACCCAAATAAATCCACTTTTTAAAAGCGTCTTCTGTGTGAATCCGCAGATCACTTTGTCTGCAGACCTCTCCATGTGTTTGAGACTTTGGACACAGGATTAGAAAAAGTAATCGATGAAAATAGAAGTCATTTTTCTATCCCTGCCATCAACTCTATCACAGAAACTCAATATTCTGCCAGTACAACATGCATATGACAGAAATTAAATTATGGATTCATTTTTAAATCTTTAGGATAAGAGAATAGTTTTGTGCCTTATAGGTATTTCAGTCTTCAGAAAGCTTGTTGCCTTAAGAATGAGAACTTGGGGCCAGGGATTTAGCTCAGCGGTTCGGTGGCCTGTCTTGGAAGCGCAAGGACCCAAGTTCAATCCCCGGTACCCCCCCAAAAAAAACAAAAGAATGAGAACTTGGCCGGGCATGGTGGTGCACACCTGTAATCCCAGCACTAGGGAGACTGAAGCAGGAGGATCACTGTGGGTTTGAGAACAGCCTGGGCTACATAGTGAGTTCCAGGTCAGTCTCAACTACATAGTGAGACCCTGTCTCAAAAAAAACAAAAAAAAAAAAGAAAGAGAACTTGTACCAATCAAAATGTAACTGCCTAGCTGTCCCTGCCTGTTTGATTTTGCAAGTGGAGTCTTTTCCTACTGGCACTCTCTCCATTCTGTATTTTAACAAGAGATAAGACTGCTCATTTTGAGACGTCATTTGGAAGAATCAAATGATAAATTCTTAACCCCGGCCAGCAGACATTTTTTTTTTTTTGTCCTGGCTTAAATGAATGTGCTCTACAGTATTCGTCAACCACTAGAGATTAGTGAACTGTGTAAATGTTCTCAAAGTAATGATTTATTTACCCAGTGTGTCTACTATTTTTATTAGAAATTTTTAGCACATGTATCCACTCCAAAATAAATATCTGTCTAAGACCTACTTTATTACTCAAGTAATTTCATTTAACTTCTAGTTTTTTTAAACTGAATCTGAATGAGGCAAAGGTTTTATCTGTATTACTGAACTGCTCCAACCCTCACTTTGTTTCTCAACAGATACATGCAAATATACAAAATTTTAAAAATCAAAGTATTTTCCAAGTAAAAAGGTATTTCCTCTTCAGAGGTTTTCCTTCTAGTCCATCATTTGAGTGCCTGCCTCCGCTGAAGAATCTGTAGCCCCAGACATGTGACAATCCTTAAATGACAGGAAACAAGGCTAATGTTTAGCTACAAAAATAAATTTCTTCCTTTCTCTCTCTCTCTTTTTTTTTGTACCAGGGATCGAACTCAGGCCTTTGTGCTTGTGAGGCAGGCAACAGAATCACTGAACCAAATCCCCAGCCCTTCTTCTTTTCTCATTTTATTTTACAATATGCACTTAGCTATGTTCTCTAAGATCTTCTCTTTGCAGTGACTTATAACCACTGATATTTTAACTTTTAACAAAAATTGCAGCTCACGGGAGGCTAAGAAAATTAGCATGCAGAGATCCCCAGTGCTGCCCTGACACGCTCAGCAGGCCTCTCATCTTCCAGAGAAGTCACAGCTACAAGAAGGCGGTAATATTAATCTCCAGTTAATATTATGTTTATCAGAATGTCATATTGTCGGGCCAAGCCAGGTAACAAAACATCTCCTCGACAGGACACCAACCACGTCTGTTAAATGTCACTGTGCATATCCATCCATATTCTCCTTGGGTTAAAATGACTGAAGGAACCAAGCTGGGCCCCTTGACCAACCTCACGCACCTAGCTTACGCCCCTGGAGCTCAAGGGCTGCTGCAAATACAAGCTCAGACCTCTGTGTGGTGACGGACGTGGCTGTCACACAGCAACGCTGCTGCCACCAGGCCCCGAATCCAGCATCTGCTAAGGACCTTGCCCGCGTGGACTATTTTAGTTGACTGAAGTGGGTGAATGATGCTCTCAAACGTGGTCTTTTTTTTTTTTTTTTTCAGTTACTACAGATTGAATCCAAGGCCTTTATCCTGAGCTACATCTCCAACTCTTTATTCTATTTTTTATTTTGAGGCAGGGTCTCACTAAGTCACTAAACTGCCTGGCTGGACTTGAACTTTCAATCTTCCTGACTCAGCCTTCCAGAGTACTGGGATCACAGGCATATGCCCCCGCACACACAGCTTAAGCCACATTCTTAAATTGTTGAACTCATTTATATGTATGCAGGCGTGCACATGCAGCACACACACACATGCACACGCACCATTCTTCACGCAAGTGTGCTTACCATAGTTGTAATTGTTCCGGAAATAGGTCTTCTGTGTAGCTCTAACAGGCTTACATTTGCAGCGCTCTGAAAAAATAGAATGATAGGATCAGTGTATTCGAAGCAAGGGGGAGTATTTGGGGGGATTAAGGCAAATATGATTTTTGGGGGGTACTGTAGATCAAACTCAGGACCTTGTACTTGTGAGGCAGGCATGGCACCACTGAGCTACATCCCCGGCCCCAGACAGTGTGATTTTTACTGTAATAAATACATTTTCATCGTATTTTTCAGTCATACCTCAGAAAACAGAAAATACACGATTACCTCTGAAAATAGTTGATTATATATAGAGTTTTTCCTAAAATAGTACCCCTAAGAAAGCACCTTTAAAAACTCAATGGTGTTACAAGATCCCAGTGATGAATGAAACTGTACTGTATACCTAAAATGTGCCAATAAGCTCAATGAAAAAAAAAAAAAAACAGTGGTATGTGTTTTATCTGTTGTGACACAGAAAAGGGAAGAAAGAACAAAGGAGTCTGAGAAAAACAACTAAATGCTGCATTGAAAAAGTGTTTTATGTCAGCATGGGAACAAATAATAAAAAGCAGAAGCTTTTGCTGACCACTAGTGATTGCATTTTCTAATCAAAACAAGTCCTATTTCAGTTGAACCTGGAAATAAGCAGCAGCAGGAGGCTGTAGGAAGAAGCACATCCCCGAGAAGGTGTCTCGGCAGAAGGTGGGGTCTCTCACGCTGCACATGGCACCTCCCCTCCCTTGTTCTACCTATAATTTTTTTTTTTTTTTGTACCAGAGATTGTACTCAGGATCTTGAGCTTATGAGGCAGGAGGCAGAACCACTGAGCTAAACCCCCAGCCCCATCTATGTGTAATTTTTAAAATGAGATCTCTATAAAGGTCCCAATCCAATAAGCAATGGGCAGTATCAGTGGTTGTTGGTATTTTGAAGGAGGCTGACCACTCCAAAAGTAATTTTCTTATTAGCAAAAGTAACTTTCCATTTAAAAGAAAGAGGAGGGCTGGGAATTTAGCTCAGTGGTGCCGCCACCTTCCTTGCAAGCTCAAGGATTGGAGGTCAATCCCCGGTACCAAAAAATAAACTAAAATAAAACAAAGTGGAAAGTCACCTACTTCTTGACTTCTCAAATACATAGTTGTTCAATTTTATACTAAGATGTTATAATGATACACTTTTTTGGGGGGGGCACCGGGGATTGAACTCGGGTCCTTGTGCTTGCAAGGCAGGCGGCAGAACCACTGAGCTAAATCCCCAGCCCACTGATACACATTTTTAAAGATATTCTTAAGAAAGGAAAATTTCTGAAGAAATAAACACTTTAGTCTTTGATTTACAATTTATCTTCCTATGGATATGGACTTGTTTTTGTATTTAAAAATAAATATCAAAAATAATACCTACGTATTGTGTACCTAGATTGTACCAATAAACTCAATAATAATAATAATAATAATAATAATACCTACAGCCAGGCAATGGTGGCACACACCTGTAATACCAGCATTCTGAGAGGCTGAGGCAGGAGAACTACAAGTCTGAATCCAGCCTGGGCAACTTAGCAACTTAGTAAGATCTTGTTTTAAACTTTAAAAAAAATTTTTAAACCTGGGGAGGGAGCTCAGTGGAATGGCCCTACATTCAAGCACTGGCTCCAAACAACAGTAATAATACACGCAGGGCTAAGGATGTAGCTCAATATCATAGCTCTTGCCTGGCATGTGTGAGGCTCTAGGATTGATCCCAGCATCACAAAGTGAATAAATAAAACAGTCACAAGCACAGGAAAACCAGCTACACAATTTTAATTCTTCAGAAATTTACCCATGCTCTAATAGCGGCACACTTTGTAATAGCTAAAACTTGGAAACAGCCCATTTGCCCATCAGTTGGAAACTGGATAAAGAAGATGTGGTTTTTCTATAAAATGGAATACTACTCAGCCATAAAGAATGAGGAATTAAATTAATTCATAGGAAAATAGATACATTTTGAAGATATACTCCTAAGTGAAATAAATAAGTCACACAGTGTAAATACTGAATAGTTTCTCTGGTGTGAAAAACTATAATAAGATCCTAATGAGATAATTGACAATGTGAAATAGGAAGAAAAGGGCTAAAGGTGTAGGGAAAGTGGGAAGGGTAGGGGAAAGGTAATAAGGGAAAAGTAAAACATGAGAAAATGAAAAAATGGAAATAAAGTGGTTGTAAATGGAGAGGGAAGGAGGGGGTGAAGGGAGGGCAGGGACAAGGGGAAAAAACGAGAACCAAGACCTGTCATGTGAAGATACAAGATCCCAAAAACGAATGTAACTGTACTGTATACCTAAAATGTGCCAATAAACTCAATTTTAAAAAAAGTCTTTTGGCAAAAAAGAGAGAAAAAAATATATATTACATATAGCAACTGTCACTGAACTTAATCTAATTTGGTGTTGCTATACACATAACTTTGCTTGAAGCATAAACAAATGGATTCCATAAAATTTCTCAGGTGGATTTTTTTTTTAAATTATACAGTAATTTAGGAAGATTTCACGAAGCATTCACATAGCTATGGATGCAATTACATATGCATAGGTAGACTTTTGCCTAACAGCGAATGACCTAAGCGGTTATATTCCTGGGACCAACTCTGGCATAACCCTCACTCACATCGTGCCTGCTGTTGTCTCAGGGACAGTGGCACACTACAGATACGCTGTTTATGGGGCTCTTTCTATGCCCTGGCCCGCAGCTCTTGCTACAAGCAAGCTCCCATCTAATTCATGAAAGTAACAGTTCAATAAATTAACAGAGCAATAAGGAAGAGTTGAATTTTGTTTTGTTTTGTTTTTTGGTACCGGGGATTGAATTTAGGACCTTGCACTTGTGAGGCAGGCATGGCACCACTGAGCTAAATCCCTGCCCAAGGCAGAGTAGAATTTTATACCTACCAAATTCAAATGTGGTAGAACTTTCTTTCCTTTATTTATGCTTACTCAACCCAAACATATCCAAAGGGCATTCATGAAAACTGTATCTTAGAGATCAAAAGATCTGAAGCATTCTTCTTCTAAATTATGTTTACATACACACTTTGCATGCATCATTCAATTGTTTTGTGTCTGCCACCCTAAGTCAGACTGTAGCAAGTTTATTTTTTCTTTACCACCAAGAATTGATTTCCTAATGCTCCGACTTTTCACAGGGCCAACAGCCTCACCATCACTACTGGTTTCACTCAACTTCTCCCAGCTTCCCCATAGAACCGCATGTAAGCTTTGGTGTCCACAGTAGCAAAATGACTGAACTTTGCACAAAAATTATTAGACACTGATTTCCTTCTACTCCACTGTTGAGAGGAAAAGCTTACAAAGGAATTTGAGTCTACCGTGGTGCTTTATCTAAGAGAAGAAAATATATTTAAAAAGTTAAAGGAGCAGCTTTGATAAAATAGACGCAGTGCTAAGGCAGAAACAAAGTCTGAACATTAGCAATGCGCTCGCAATCTACAATTAGATGCAACAGCCGGGCGTGGTGGCACAAGCCTGTAATCCCAGCACTCAGGAGGCTGAGGCAGGAGGATCGCTGTGAGTTCAAGAACAGCCTGGGCTACATAGTGAGTTCCAGGTCAGTCTCAACTAAATAGTGAGACCCTGTCTCAAAAAAAAAAAAAAAATTGTAGAATTAGATGCAACACCCTCAGTTGTGGGACAGGGTGCAGCGCTACACCCTGGAGCAACCTGTCTCAGGCAGGTCTTCAACACCTCCATCCCTTACTCAGTTCTTTCAGCCTAGCATTACTGATTTGCTCCATCTCTGCTCAAGAACCTGAGACTGTCTACTGGTACAGGGGATAGAACTTGGGACCTTGCACTCTCGAGGCAGGAGGTGGAACCACTGAGCTAAATCCCCTGAAAGATTGTCTCTTATCCCAGTAGAAACATGAGTTTATCACCCTGGTACAGATTTGAAAAATTAGACACCAGCATCCCACGGAACTCAGTCTACGCTGGGGAGCTGGCTCGACTCACTGCCTCACCTCCACCCTAGGGTCCTGCTGAGCCCACTTCCAGAGGGTAAGGAGCACAGTGTTCTTTGTTCCCCGTAATATTAGTATCTTTTAGGACCGGGGATTTAGCTCAGTGGCACTATGTCTGCCTTGCAAGCAAGCACAAGGTCCTGAATTTGATCCCTGGCACTACAAAAAAGAAAAAAATGTTAGTCTCATTTATTAAAAACACAAGGATAGGGCTGGGGATTTAGCTCAGTGGTGCGGCCACGTGCCTCACAAGTACAAGGTCCGGAGTTCGATCCCCAGTACCAAAACAAAAACACAAGGATAATAGTATTCTTGATATGGTTTATAAGATCTCACGAATTCTAAATACCTACAATTCTGAAATGTGATACTGGACCTTCACAAATTGCCCCAAATTTGTGACACAGCTTTCTAATGAGCCCTGGCCTTTGTTTGAAATTCAATGCCCTGTGTCTCAAAAGCCCAGAGTTGTAAGACTGTAATCAACCTCACCAGACTCTAGAAGCACCATAGCCTTCTATGTACCATGACTTTGGTGGAATACTACCTCTGGGTGGGTATTTTTCCGAGTTTCTAAGTCTGGACTCAGGATATTTTGTCAAAGAGTAGGAGATGGAACACAATTCTATTTGTGTTAAATTCCCATTACCGCTCTTTTGAGCCTTTCCAATCAGATTAGAGTCTTCATTTTAATTTGGGCCAAATACACTGTCTTGGCATTTGACTAGAGACACACCTGTGCTCTTTCCCTCCATTTTAATACACACAGGAACAGACTACAACCATTTTTTTAAAAATATTGTGAAATAAATGTTCATGGGGCCAGGGATTTAGCTCAGAGGTTCCATCACCTGCCTCGCAAGCGCAAGGTCCCAAGTTTGATCCCCAGTACCCAAAATAACTAAATAAATAAATATTCATGCTTTGAAGATTTTTTTTTGGTACCAGGGATCGAACTGGGACCTTGCCTTTGTGAAGCAGGTGGCAGAACCACTGAGCTAAGTCCCTGGTCCTGAAGA